CAAATTTTGTAAAAGGCAGAGTTTGATTTAGTGAAGTCAAATTTAGTGAATTGCCACGATGCCAAATCAAGCAAAGAATCATGATGAAAATTGAAAGTTTGTGTGCTTGCTCTGTCTGAAAAAATGTTTAGACAGCTTACTACTTTTCAAGCAGATCGAATATGCCAACTGTACAAGACCAAGATCAATATATCAGTGATACTCGGGTACCAAAAGGTTTCTGCGAATCGTGTAGAATTACTTTGCGCAGGAAACAAGAGGGGAAAGACGTTGCACTCCCTTCTTTGTTTGATTTTAAGTCAATACAAGTGAGACCTGAAACAAGAGGCACGATGTGTTGTTGCCTAATATGCCAAATTGCAAAAAACTGTGTAAGTCTTGTCATCAAGAACCCTTATTATTAATTTCATGAAATACTATACTATTGTTATAAATTCTATTAACAAGTTAATTTTTTTTTTTTTTTTTAAGTTTTTCCTATCGTTTTTTTTTTTCTTTTTTTTTTTTACATTATTATTTTTCTAATTATTCATAATTAACTAACAGTAAGCAACCCGTAATACGCGTTGTTAGTAAATAAAATTAAAAAAAAACTGCGTATAATAATATTAATGACGTAAAAATAACGTAACTAGTTTTAAATTAGCGTATTCATATTATCAGATTAGAATATTTCCAAGTAATAATTTATTTCTAGAATGAGTTTTTTTAATTTGGTTTTTAAGAAATTAATATTTTCTACAAGAAATACTGGTGAATTTTTCAGAATTAATTTGTTATATAAGTAAGGACCACGATAAGCTGCAGAAAATTGGGAGAGTTTTCGTTTTTTCACAGCCACAATATATATTTATGCTTAAATAATTTTAACATATATATTGAAATAAAGTCTTGACTATTAAGAAATAACACTAGATAGATATCAAGAAGTATATTTTTGACAAATTTTTAATTTCTTTAAAAACAATTAATTTGAAAGTTTTACACAAACTTACTAAACAAAGTTTATTGTAACTATAAAATATGTATGTTTTGGTTTTAGGTCAAAGTAGTGCGCAGACACCATCAAGTGCTCCAAAATTGACCACTGTAGCCCTTGTGAATGTGCAATTAAATACGGGCCTGTCAAACAACTGATTAAAGAAACTTGTTAGAACTATAAACAAAATATCAAGCGGCAAGATGGTAGAGCAAAATTTCTTTATGAATTTTTTAAGACTAGGTCAACAATTGAGCAATTTCCTCACCTGCAGCGACTTATAAATCACAGACGAAAAAACAGATTCTTGTACAGTTTATGTTGTTGCTCACTGCAATGATTTATTAAGTCTTGTGAACCATGTTATTCAGTCCCGCAAAATTTCTGGTAGCTATTTTGTTAAGCTCGGAATTGATGGTGGCAAAGGTTTTTTCATACTGCGTTATAGGGATGAAACCAGCTCACTACACCAAACTCTCACTCAAAGGACTGGTAAAAACACTGGAATCAAGAGACAAATTTTTGTTGGGGTTTCAGAAGATTTGCCAGAAAAACACTTCAATATTGAACAAATCTGGTCATTGGTTAATGCAAACGGAGTTAAACTAATTTTGGCTTGTGATATGAAAGTTGCAAATATAATTTGTTGTCTTTAAACTCATTCAGTACGCACCCTTGCACCTGGTGTGATGTCAAATCCAATTGTCTTGCCAAATCCAACACTGAGCTCAATTAATTCAAGCCTTGAGTCTTTACAGCAATCTAGCGGGGTTCACGGGTATCACGGGGGCCAGTTTGAGGGAACAATGCTAACCGTGCAAACCTTGCTAATTCGTGCTAATAAAATTTACCAAAATTAGTTTTGAAAACTGGTTAAAGAATAAAATTTTCATTTCGCATATTATATTTGTTTTTAACTTTTATAGAATATAAATTGTGAAAAGAAATAGGAGTTATGCGAGTTTTACATTTAAACATAAAACACAATATATTAAAAATATTTTATATATATTAAAAATACTCATTTTATTAAAAAAAGGCTTAGCATGATAAAAACGATGTTTAATAAGTCGTGCAACATGTTTCTGTTGGCGATAAAGTGGTTCTAATACAGTTTTGCAAACACTACCCCAAGCCGCATCAGCATAGTTTAGATGGCGATAAATTAAAGAGTAGTACAGCTGAATTAAAGTATGTTTGTTTAGCGTGCTTCTTATTTTGAATAGTATTATATTGGAAATTTTAGAGAATAATTTTTCAATGTGTCTTTTCCATGTCAGATTTTCCCCTAAAAAATTTGTAGCCGTTACTCTTTTTATATGCATGTCATCTATAATATGAGCAGGAAATTTACTTGATAGAATATTTTTTTTTGTAGTACGGATGAAAAAGAGACCATTATGTTTTTTCAATATTAAGAGAAAGCTTATTTAATCTAAACTATTCAGAAATTTTATTTAATTCTATATTTATACTTTGAATAGGGTCGTTGTCTTGCTATGAGATAAAAAAAATTTGAGTTGTCACCAAACTTTAATTGTCATTAAACTAGACTCACCAAAATTGTAACGTTCACCAAAATTTAATTGTGATTAAATTAGATGCTTCATAAAAATCGTTAATGTAAATGAGAAATAGTTGAAGTCCTAGAACAGACCCTTGAAAAACTCCGCACGTTACATCAAACAGTTTTGAGTTCCATGATACGTAGTAGTGAACAAATTGATTTTTATTGCTTCAATATTTTTTTATTAGCTTCAAAACATTGCCAGAGATTCCATATTACTTAAGTTTTTTGAATAATATTTTATAATCAATCGTGTCGAAGGCTGTAGACAAATCAATATAAATGCCTAAAGTAAATTTGGATTTTTTAAATAATTCAGTAGTATTTTGTGTTATTTGGAGTAAAGCGTGTTCAGTAGACTTTTTTTAAATCCATATTGATTTTTGTATAGGATATTATTTTGAGAAAGATGTAAAAATGATATTTTACAGATATTTTTTATTATTTTGCATACAAAAAATTTAGAGTAGGGGAGAGTCGGGTAGCCCCGAACACTTAAGAAAAACCATGATTTTATCTTTTTTTTTTTTTACCAGTGTGACACAAATTTAATATATAATAATTTAACATTGGACTGTTTTCGACACATTTTTGAAAAAATCGTCTTTAAAAATTGCCTCTGATATATATGAAATGAGAATGAAAATGTCATCATTGAAACACTTTAAAAACACTTTTTTCAAATCTAATCTTTTTTTATTGGAATTAAATGAATTACTGTTATAGGTTTGTGCATTATATTAAATGTAATAATATTTATATAAAAAAAAGTTGTTTATTATTGATATGTAAACAAATTAAGTTGTCCGGAGCCACCCTCCAAAAATGTGTCCGATACCACACGATCATACCTCATTCACAAATGCTAGTTTTGAAAGTGAATTAAACTTTTTAACGAATTTTTTTAAATAACTATTGTAAGTAAAAATATATCTTTAATCATTAAAAAGCTATTAGTTTACATAAAAACTAGGTATATTAATATGTGAATCAAATATGACGATACGTCGTTCTTCTGGTGATGGGAAACAAAATCTTGCCCTCCCAGTCAATCGCTACGACATTTTGCATATGCCATATTTTTACTCAAATAATGCTATTCTAGTATTAAAAATCACATAGCTTCTATAGTTTAAGCAGTACATCAAGCGTCCGAAGTTACTCGCCTTTGTACCAAAATCTGACCGATTCATCATTTGTACCGAAATCTGATCGAATATTTTTATTCATTTTTTTTCCAGCAGGTTAATGAGATTTGAATTTTTTTGCTTATGTTTTACTGATTAGTATGATTTACAGTTTTTCAATTTTTTTTTAATTACAGTTATCTTCCTATGAACAGCATCATCATATTCTAAAACAATTCCCTACGCACGCTTTTACACTAGCTCAACTTTTATTACACACGCCTATATCTTAAGTCCATTTTTGCTGTTCTGAGAATAACGCATTTAAAGTTTTTAATTCATCACTGCGTTTGATTTTCTCCATTAAACTAAATTGTTTTTAAAATACCTATAGACTATGTTATTATTTTTCATAATATAACAAATAAAAAATAAAATTTTTGGTTTATAAGAAGCAACAAGTTTATAAGAAGCAAATGGACTTAAGATCTATTTTATATAGTCTTATAACTATATAAAATATGTCAAAATTCTACAAATTAAAATAAAACTGACAATCTTAAGTCCGTTTTGCAACAACAACAAAAAAAAAATAAAACAAGACAATCTTAAGTCCGTTTTGCTGTTCTGAGAATAACATTTAAAGTTTTAAATTTAATCACTGCTTCTGATTTTTTTAAACACTATTATTTTTAAATCTACTCGTTTTCAGTTATTTATTATATGTGTTAAGTATTTTATACCAAAAAAGTTTTTTTCCTTGCCAAAAAATGGACTTAAGATAGTTTTGTTGTACAGCAACAATGTCTCTTAATTATTTTTTTTAGGACATCAGATATTTGAGTTTTACTCATAGTTGCAAATGTTGAATCATTTTTGGTTCCATACTTTGTGAGATGACTTTTGTGCACCTAAGGAGTATTTTAAACCAAAAAAGTCAATTTTGCCAAAAATGGACTTAAGATTTTTTTGCAGCGACGATATGCTTGCTCAAAATAATTTAAAACTCGATTAGCTTTATTTAAAACATAATTAAATTGATTGCGTCAATTATATATTTTTTAAATCGTTAAAAAAACCTACAAGTTTTTTTTTTGTAAAAAAATGTTAGTTTCAAATTATTTTGCAATCCCGAAGTTAAAAACTTTCAAAACTTTCCATCTATGTAAAAAAACTACAAGTAATTTCAAATTATTTTGCAATCACGAAGTTAAAAACTTACAGAACTTTCCATCTATGTAAAAAAAATTTTTTTTGCGTCTCCTTCGATGTTACTGTTTAAGTTGCTAGACTATATAAAATTGATCAGTAAATATGAAAAAAGGAATTAAGCAACAAAACTACTTATATTTTTATTTTGTGCCAATATAAAAACTGCAGTAAATACCATATAAAAAGATAAATAACAAATAAGTATTCAGTTACTTATTCACTGATGTTTACTCTTCCTTGAATATTTGGATTTAGTTGATACGTTCTCCAACCTCGAAGAGGTTTCTATGTATATTTAAAAAAACATTTAAAGATATAATTACAAAAAAAAAAAAAAAAAAAATCATTTTAGTAAAAGTTAAAAAAAAGTTCTTGCCACTCTGGTAACTTTATTTTAACCTTTTATGAACACGAAAGTGAGAGCATTTTCTCAGAAAAGAACTCTTTTAATTTTTGAAAGTTGATGAAAATATTTCTTAAATATATTTTATGCAATATTTCTTAAATATATTTTAACTCAATTTCTTATGAATGATATACTTTATATATGAAGTAAAACTAAAAAACTTGTTTTTTATTATTTACCAGAAAATGTAGTCATATCCAAAGTTGAGTGAGTCGAGGTATTAACGCTTTTATTTCCGAAAAATGATGACCAATATTCCTTTACTTCTTTGCTTCGCAGAGTGTAAAATATGAAAATAAAAAGTCCTTGCAACGAGTTAAATATACAAAATAACCATTGAAATAGATCTCGTAAACTTCCGACGGCTAAAATTGCAAACACCCAAGTCGTGCCTAGCAATATGGTGAACCCAAAAGCTATGCGAACATTAGCAAAACCTTTTCTTTTTTTTGATTTAGAACCATGCATCAATTTAGCACAGCGAACGATTCCATTTTGAACAACAAAGAGTACAATAAAGTTGCTTAAAATTACAATACAAACTGGCAAAAGAACGGCATAGTAAAACACATAACCACGAACAACGCATCTAAAAAAGAAAAGTTATTTAAATGTAGTTAATATTAATGAACTGTAGTTAGTAAAGCACTATTAGAGAACAGAACCTTTTGGACGCATAAACTTTTTACGCATGTGTCACACACATGCGTAAAAAGTTTATGCATTTCTTGCATCTTTACAATATAACTTAAGTATGTTTATACCTATGTCAAATGAGAAGGCCTTACAAAAATTGGGAACAGAAAAGCTCTAAAACGTTTGTCCCCCATCTTCCCTCAATGGCCAAACGTGAGGACAATGATGAAGTACTTAACTATTTTAAACTAAACACGGATAATTCCCGACCCCTTCACAAAATCAGGGGGCTGTAAACTTTGCATGGTCATTACTTAATTAAAAGAAAAATTTATCAGTTTATCATTACTGTCATAAATCATATTTATAATTTATGACAGTAATGATAAACTTTTTTTTTAATTAAGTAACATGATCACAAGATATGTCATAAGTAGATGAATATTTGTACAAAAGTAATAAAAAAAACTAATTTGATTTTCTTGTTGAAAAAGGTCACCCATAAATCAAAAATTCCGTCTATGAGTATGGATAAAATTTCAAATAACTTTATGATCGTCATTAGATAGAATTGTTATTAAAATTATTTGTAATTTAGAGTGTTATGAGGTAACAATAAACTGTTAAATGCCTAAAAACTACATAATAACTCTTTAATTAAAAAATTAGAAGTAAAAAATATAATCTATATAAAGAAAGATAACCTCTAGCTTATATTTATTTTGTTTAACAAAGCATAATAATTGTATATTATTTTTTAGTTAAGCTGAACTCAACATTTTTTCTATGTATACAGTACAGTATTTATCAAAAAAATAATGTGCAGTATTCATTATATAATTAAATATACGTTAAAAAACTTGCTTATATGTAGTATTAAAATATAATATACAACTCTCATACTTAGTTAGACAACATAGATCTAAGCCATTACGAATGTCAAAAGGATGTTGAAGACATTGATTGCTTGTTCTGCCCACTGATTTGTTTAGGAAACTTCTAATTTCAATGGTTCCTGATTCCAAAACTTTTTCACTGAATTTAACGCTTTTTTAAAACCGCGCAAATTGCTACATAATTTCCCATAATCATCTGCATTGTACATTTGGTTAGTAAACCAATGGTCTGCCCATCTGTAAGAGACGAATCTACAAATGTCAAGTAGTGAGTCTCTTCTCTCTGGTAGGAGAATAAATGCCAAAAGATTTAGTATTGCTTGGGAATTCTATCTTGCATTATTTAATTTAGGTATTTTCTGAAACTTTATAAATATTACAGATTCTTCAAAAAATTGGAATACCCAAGTTAAATGAAACAGAAATTCCGTACCATCACGCCATCCAATCAGAAATCACTTCTTTACTATTTTTAATACTCTTACTGAGCTAATCGTAGTTCTTTACAATTTCTGGGAAAATCAGATATTCAATATTGGATAACATGTTGTTTCCTCCAAGTTCTTTATCCATTACTACGCAAAGGACTCGGTCAAGAACATGATGTTGAAAATCAATAAATTGTGGTTCTTCCAGTTTCATTTCATCAAACAAACAATTACTGTTGAAGTAGTCTTGAAGGACATTTTTCTTTTTTTTGATTGATGGATAGTTTTTTAAACTAGCAGCCTTCCCAGTTGTATACCTAACCTGTCCATTGCTTTCAATCTGAAGATGATACAATTTTTTGTTCTCAATGCAGAGCATCATCATCTTTTTTTGAGATTTCAAAAACTTCATTTAATGGAGAAAGTTTCCAGACAACCCTATTCATTTTGCTTCACTTATTGATTTGTGTCTTTTCTCTGACCCTAGCTTGTGTTCAGTTTCTCCTTTTTTCTTCTTTAGGTGGTTCTGACCACGCAATGATCTCTATAAAATCTTTTATCTTGTACTTCTTCTTTGGACTCATTAGGATGAGTCAATGATAGGTAATTGCACAACTTACTACTACCCTAAAGCTGACTGGGATTCTTTTTGAACAAGTGCCTGTGATTTTTGAACAAGTGCCTGTGACTGTAATTTTCTTGTGAACAAGTGCCTATTTATTTCAAAAATTGATGTAAAATGGTGCTGCCTGATGGTAAACTCCATTATTCTCAGTTCATTAAATCTCATACCTTATCTCATAAGTTAGACTCTAGAGGCTTTTGGAAAATCTTCAACAATGTCATTAACAAAGGTAGGTCAAACATTCCATCTCTCATTCTTAGGATTGATCTTATTATCTCTCCCAAGGATAATGCAGAACTACTTGCAAAGAACTTTTTTTCTAATTCAACTTTTGACTTTAATGGCCATTCTCTTCCTTCCATTTCAGTTAAACAGGTTAACCCATTGCTAGACATTCGAATACCTCCAGCTTCTGTAGCTAAAGTCATATCTCAATTTAACTCTTCTACGACTTGTGGTCCAGACAATATTCCTGTCATAATCTTACAAAACTGTTCCCCAGAAATTACTTCAATTCTTGCTAAACTATTTAATAAGTGCTTAGCTAAGTTGGCTTGTTTTCCTTCCTGGTGGAAAATAGCATCTGTTGTTCTAATTCTTAAAAACTATGGAGAACATTCTAACCACTCTAATTATCGTCTGATCTTCCGAGTCTTCTTTTTGTTATTAGCAAGCTCTTTGAATCCTTGCTCAACAAATTTCTTATATCTCATCCTGAGTCAAATAACTTACATACTAAACATACTTCTGAAAAAGTTAGCTTATTTGTTATGTATTCCACTTTCATTTATATTTAATGCCAGCTTTAAGACAAGTTCTTTACCTAACTAACGGCGCCAAGATTTCATATCTTCAATTTTTAAAAATAGAGCTACTGTAGATCCAAATTATTATAGACCCATCTAACTGACATGTACTTGTTGTTGCATCATGGAAAAAATAATTTATGTGTATGATATAGAGTGATCTAACTCTTAACAAATCTTTATGAATCTACTAATGATTAGAATACCGCACTCGATAACCACCATATGAGTGTTGTATATATTGACTTTCCAAAAAGTATTTGACTCTGTCTTACCTTCCAAACTATTAGTTAAACGTGCATCGTGTAATATAAGAGGTAATCTTCTAAATTGGATTTCTGCAATTCTCACAAATAGATATCAACAAGTTAAGGTTAGTAGTTCTTTATCAAACTATAAATAAGGTGAATGTACTTTGGCTTGGTCTTCCAATTCAAAAGATCTAGGAGTAACAATGGACTGAAATCTTAACTATAAAAAACATATTTCTAATGTCATCCATCAAGCTAACTCTGGAGCATACTTAATATTAAAATGTTTTAAAACTCTTGACCCTTGTATCCTATTTCACTACCTATATAAGACCAATTTTAGAATATTGTTTACCAGTTTGGTCGCCACACCCAATCAGATTGATTAAATCAGTTAAAAGTGTCCAAAAAAAGTTTACAAAAAAAATAAGGAGCCTTAGATATTTGTCTTTATTTGTAGTTAGATATGAAAAGGAGTCATAATTGACTACAGTTGCTTGGTTTGGAATCACTTGAAGTACAGCACCTTTTAAAGTGACTTAGTCATATGTTTTAAAGTGACTTAGTAACATGTTTTAAAGTGACTTAGTAACATGTTTCAAAGTGACTTAGTAACATGTTTTAAAGTGACTTAGTAATATGTTTTAAATTTTTTTACAAACAAACAAATTTTTTTTTTTTAAAATGTAAAACATGTTACTAAGTCACAGAATAACCTATGTTCTTTGTAATTGACAACAATGGCTATACACAGGGTCATATTTATAAAATACGCAAACAATTAGAGCTTGTAGTGGTTTTTCAATTTCAACACCAACAAAACTCAGTTATTTACGGCAAAAAACTGTCATAATTCCTATATTATGGCAACCAATTATTTGTTAATCGTGATAATCACTTCTGTTGCGTTATTTCTTACTTTAATTAAGAGCTTGTGGTCTGGAAAATATACCTTATAACTCTCTAAATTATTTAAAAACTGATTATGTTTTTCTGCTTGTTGCAAAATACCATGTATCAATTGTAATTTTTTATTTTTTTGTTATTTCTTTCTCTATCCCTTTAGCTACTATAACCTAATCACATTATAATTTTACAAACTTTTAATTTCTCATCTTAAATCAACAAATGACACAAATACAGACATGGATTACATTGTTCAAGTGATGATTTGTGAACTTTAATGATTGAGAGGTTCTATTTTTCAGTTAATGTATGCTTTGTTGGGTGTTGAGTGCAATATTTGCTTTGCTGGGTGTGTTTAGGGAAGATCTTATGTATAACATCAACCCCAAACACACCAAGCAAAGCATATATTGGTTTTATATAGGGCATGTGGAAAAAGAGATAAGCGAATCATAAGCAATCATTTAAAAATAAAAAGTTTAAATAGAATCATGCTCTCGAAATATATAGGAAACAAAGGAAAAAATCAAAGAAACACCATTAACTTAGTGAAACCATTTTAGTTTGAGGAATCCCAAAACTAATTTCAAAAATTTAAATAACCCCAATAATCTAATATTTGCCGAAAAACCAACAACATTCACCAATTGCCTCCAGAAGATTACTCCAAATTATTAAAAGAAAACGTCACAAAAACATGCATAAAAATCCCTAAAAAAACTTTAAAATTCAATCAACCTCAAACATTATAATCCTTAAGTCAGAAGCATTTAATATATTAAAAGACCACAAAAACAATTTTTGATAATCAAAAAACCTTTCCGCATATTAAATCCAGCAAAAAGTGAACTCGACATTGGCAGCAAAACATACCTACATAAAATCAACAAGGAATTATTAAAAAAATTAAATTTAAACCATTGGAAAAACACAACTGAAATAATCAAATGGTTTACAAGCATAAGCAACAAGCAACACTGTGTCAGAAAAAAAAAAATTAAAACATTAAAAAATATCGGATTACAATAAAAGATTCAAATAAACATAGTGCTAAATTTCTTGATGTCACTTTTAATCTTCAACTCCTACCAAACTTTTAAAAAACACAATGACCAAATACATTGAAACTAAGTTGAGTACCCATCTCAAGTCCTTAAGCAGATCTCTCTCTCCATTAATGATCAACTATCACAAAATTCATATAATGAAAAAATGTTTCAATTCATCAAAAACACAATACGAAGAAGCACTTGAACAAAATGATATAAAAAACTTTAAGTTAAAGTACAATCTAAAAAACAAGACACCCCTAAAATAAAAAAAGTAATATAATTTGGTTTAATCCAGTTTACAATAAAAGCGTCTCTACCAATATTGGCCAAATCTTTTTGCAATTAATAGATAAACGTTTTCCACCTTCAAACCCATTGCATAAAATATTCAATTTAAACACTACAAATGCTAGCATTATTTCAAAAATTATAAAAAGTCACAACAAAAAAAATAAATGCAAAAAGCATGAATAAAAATTTCCCTTCTAATTGCAAACAAAGAGAAATCTGCCTGTTAAATAAATATCGTAAAGCAACAAACTAATTTACAAATGCATAACATCTTCCCTAAACACACCCAGCAAAGCATACATTGGTTATAAAATATATATAAGAAACAAGGGAAAAAATCAAAGGAACACCTGAATTAGCTTGGTCTATTGAAAAAGAGACCCTGCTTACAAAAACACAACAAAAAATTGTTTATATGAAAAACTAATAATTATACTTTATAAAAATGCCTAAGAGTTAATGCATAAAAAAACAAAGTTGATTTCCAAATGTTGTAACGAAAAACAAAGTTGATTTCCAAATATTGTAACGAAAAATAAAGTTGATTTCTAAATGTTGTAACAAAAATAAATTTCTATTAAGAAATCACAAACCAGAAGATTAGATACATGCACTTGCAACAATAGTTTTCTACATATTTTTTTATGTATAGTTATGTGTATTTAGTTTTATTTGTATTTGACTATTTTAACAAAAAAATTATATTTGTAAAAAATATAACCAGTCCAAACCATACAAAAGTTTTCCACACTTGTTGGCTGTTTTCATTAATCCCATTTTTTATTTAAATATAATAATAAATGTGTTCCAAAATGGTATTGGGAACTTTTATTAGAGTTTCCCCCAATATATATATATATAAACCTCCATATGTCCTGATATGACCTTCTAATAAAACGTAATAACCAGGTCATATGTATATAAGTACATATATAAATTTTGAAATATAATATTATTAATACAAACATATAATAATATAAATACTGCTAAAAAATAATTGGTTAATCAAATATATTTCTTTTATTTTTTACGTTTTTACAACATTGAAATGTTTGATACATTGTAGATTTGTTTGAAAATCACTGAGTGATGTCCAAACAGGCTTCGGTGGGAAGCGAGAGCTTTAGCTCTCGCTCTCGCCCACACTCCCCTAAAACAGTTTACAGGAGCAATTTACGGCTCTCGCAAAAGTATAATTTTTCTCATGAAGGTATAATTAAAATTACAAAAGAGTGCTAATTTAAATGAGGAGCAGCTCGCACAGCTCCCCAAATTCGTTTTAGGAGAGCTTTTCTCAGCTCTCGTGCTCATTTGTTCCCGCCAAGGCCTGTCTAAATATATAAAAAATTAAATTGCTTACATTGGTGGGTCATCATTGGTTGCTGGACCTAAAGCATCTGGTTTAACAACAGCTGTTGTCACTGTTATGATAAGAGGAATGCCTAAAAAGTGTAAATAAATAGTGCAAGAATCTAAATCAAATGATTAATATTTTAATTATTTTGAATAATAAAAACAATTACAATTGTACTGTTGTATGTGTACATATACATATATATATATATATATATATATATATATATATATATATATATATATATATATATATATATATATTTAGACATTCATTTTAAGGAAATATATATATATATATATATATATATATATATATATATATATATATATATATATATATATATATATATATATATATATATATAGACATTCGTTTTAAGGAAATTCTTTTGAATATATATTTCTTGAATTTTCAATTTTTTGAATATATATTTCTTTTTCAATGGTGGGCATTAAATGGGGATTTAATGCCCACCAATGAAATTAAAGTAATACAGCGATTTATGTTCTTTATTTATGTTCAATGAAAATCTCTGCTGAAGAAATCTTCTACTTGATTATTTAAATTCTGCTTGAAGTACTTTATAGACCTTTTCACCATCATGTAATAAATTGTCCTCAAAAGAAATGCTTTAAAAACAGAAAAATAGAAAAGGTTTGGAAATAGTAAACACGAACTCGTAAACTTTATATTTCACATTTATTGCGAGTTCATTTTTATAATTATTATTAATATTCTTTAGACACAAATCGCATAGCAAAATAAAGTTACAATTAAAAAATCTCAGGAAAAACAAACAACTAACGCTGTTTAATTACAAAAAAAATATTATTTGCAAGCGCTTGCACGCTATCGTGGCATCGAAGAATAGGAATAATTTATTTTTCATTCATAGTCATAAAATGTTATTTAAACTATGGTTCATTCAAAGATTTAAATTTGCTTATAAGTTTTAAATTCAAGCAAGCAATGATTCCAGTTTTCTTGATTTTTAAATTTCTAGTACCAGTTTGTTGTAATAAAAAGTTCTTGTTATTAAATATATTTAGTTTAGGTTTTAATATAAGTATTTAATTTACATTTTAATTAAAAGCAAGCAGTAAAGTAAAGAAATCTATTTTCCTTGTTTAATAAATTTCTATTACCAGTTGATTATAATCATAAAACATTTTTTGTACTAAACTTATATTTCAGAGTTAGTCTTTTAAAAAAGTTATTAGAGAAAAGATAGTAGATAAATAAAAAATGATTTTAGTCAAATTTTAGAGTTTGCAGAAAAGACTTAATAAGTTATTTACCTTTTCAGCCAAAAAGGGAAAAACCTTTAAAGAAACAGCATTTTCGGGTGTCAAACCAAACAAGTTTGACATTTATTTAGATATTGTTTGACATTGTTTGACAGGTTTGACAGGGATATATATATATATATATATATATATATATATATACATACATATATATATATATATATATATATACATACATATATATATATGTATATAGTGTATATATATATGAATAAAAAAAAGTCAGGCTATTTTTCAGTCGATATATGTACTGAAGCCCCTGGCAGCAGGCTATTTTAGTATGACACCAGACTGCTCACCTAAACCAGCAGTATGAGAGCTCATCCATGAGCTTTCACCAGACCTATTTGGAATTATCAGAAATAATGATTAGATTAAAAGTAACTTATCATATATTTAAAATTAATTTAAAATTAATTTATCTAATACATTTTTTTTTGTTTTATCGATTATTTTCAGTTATATCAGGTAGTACGTAAAAAGTGGAATCAAGTGATGACATTGATTAAAGGTAGTATATAAATAGTGGAATCAAGTGATGAGATTGATGAAAAGTTCTTAACAAAAAATTAAGCTTTGCCTTTAAGTGAGGTAACAAAATATGAGCCACGCAAAAGAGGTAGAATAACAGATTTGCCCTAATTATTGACACTGTTAAAGATTCTTTAGAAACCACTTAAGTCTGATTTTTGAGATAAAATACGAGATTTCATGACCTGAGAATATGCTTTGACATTAGGCATAATCTTTTAACCATATTGTCTAGCAATAGTAAACAGATCTCTATTTTCTGGAGAACTGTTTTGCTGATAGATATGGAAGTAATAGTTACGACAGATATAAATGTGCTGCTTATATCTTATATATATCTTGTGCTGCTTGCGATATAATCGCAGCAGCACAAGATATATATAAGATATAAGCAAGATATATATAAAATATAAGATAAACAAGATATATATATAAGATATAAGGAAAAATCATGAGGAAGAGCTCAACTTGGAATCCTCGAGAGCGAATTAAAAGATGCAAGCCTGAGTCCAAGAAGTTATATTAAAAGCACATTTATCAGCAAGAAGAGTCCTAATTAGCTTTAAGATAGTTGTGTGAGATATATGATAGTGTATGATAGTGTATGATAGTGAGATTCTGATAATGAAGAAGAATGAGATAATAGTTTTAGAGAGATCAAACTAAGATCAAAAGCATCTAAAGGTGGTTGTGGAGAAAATGACTAGGATCAGATACAAGAAATAAGTCAAGTAAAGAAGGTAAATGATTCAAATTGTCTCGAAAGAGAGTTATAAAGTTGACTATTTCTGTTAGAGATTGAGAAGGGCAAAAGTTGTAGGCCTCAACACCTTTAGAGTCATTGACAATAGAGCCAAGCCATTTAGTGTGATGAGCATTAAAGTCACCAACAGCAACAATATTTGCTGAAGGATAATGAGATAGGGCTTGGTTAATTTGATCAGAAATATCATCGAAAAGAGTTCAGTCTTAAGATGAAGGAGAGCAATATAGAACAAAGAGAAAGGTGATATAATGAAGTGGTGCTAAAAAAAAGCACATAATAGAATAGTCTGTCGATTCAATCTAGTTTCCTGATGAATGGGTGAGTTCTAATGAAAGAAAATGCCCAGGCCAAACACATGTGACTATTAGAGTCTTTACAAATTAACCAACAATAACCATTAACACTAAAATCACAAGAACAGACAGCTGAACTGGTCTGGTGATCTTTGCAAGAGGTAAGACTCAACAGAAGAAAAGTTCCTTGAAGATCATGAATATTAGTGAATGATTTAGAGAACTTGGTAATGACAATGGTTTTTTGTTTTTTATAGTTTTTAGTACTTTAGTCATTTTAAAATTTGTTAAAGAACTTGACTCAAAGCACATATAGTACTCAGTACAATATTTAATAGTGAAAGTAATTGCCTTATTACTATTAATAAACCTTAAGCAGTAAAAAAGGGTTCCAAATGTGGCCTCGAAAATGCACACTAAAAGTATAAACAAGGACACAATGCAACATGGCACTGTTAGTACTCTAATACTTTGACAATAATAATAATACTACAATAATAATAATACAATAAATCTAATACTGTTGTTCATGTAATATCAAAAAGTATCAACAGTGCAATTTCGTTATCGGTTCAAATTAAATTTTTGGCCAAAACCGATACTGAAACAGAATTTTGATGGATCACTAAAGTTTATGATAAAACAATAGTAAAAATTATCATTATATAATTCTCTCTGTACTGTAGTTGTCTTCAATATATAATCTTTTTAATGAACAAGTGGTTTGGTTTTTATTTTATTTATTATTTACCTATCTTACATTTATTTATTATTGTGTTATTAATGTTACATTTTATGTTATTATTATATCTAATTATCATCTATGATTTGTACATACAATTTATATTGTATTATAATATTCTTAATATTATTGGTACTTTATTATTATCATTATTATTTTGTATTATTACTATTATTATTACATATATCATTATTATTTGTTTAACAATCTTTTCTCCTTTTCTCTCTTATTTATATATACAGATGTTGAGTTTTTCCTTTTTCTTTTTTTTTTTTCTATTTATTTACTTATTTATTTTTTCGTGAAATTTTTATGTTTTTTAGGAGTCACTCCTTTGATTAGTTTGTAACTATATGAGTGACACCTAACCAATTTATATTAATTTACGATGAAATTTGTAAATTTTATTGATATGGTTGAATAAAAATAATAATAATAATAATAATAATAATAATTTATAATTATGACAAATAATACAGTTTTAATAATACAGTGATATTTTGAAGCAATAATAATAAAAGATATAATTAACATACTCAAATTTTTTAATTTGGTTTCTACTGAGAAGATCTAGTTACTAATAAAGGGTATTTAGTTAAAACTGTATTGATTGGTTACAGTGAGAAATGCATTGTTTAATTGAAAACATGCAATATTTAACAGTATTAAAAAATGAAGGGTGTAAACAAGTATTTTGAGTGTAATAATTGTGTTTTAATAAAAAAGTTATTAAACAAATTCAGTAGAATTTTTTTTTTTTTTTTTTAACATCTTCACTTCCAACAAGGCTGCAAGCAACCACTATAAGAGTTGGAAGTTACTGGAAGAGAAAAGACTAAATCTGTAGAGCAAGATAACGATTGACTGATGACTTAAAAGATTGCAAAATATATGAATCAGGGAAGCAAGATGAAGGAAGCGAATTCCAAAGAACTGATGTTCAAGGAAAAAAACTAGAAGAATAAGAGTTTTTGAAGCACTTAGGAACAGTCACAGAAAAAGGATGAGACTTAATTGAATGGCAAGTAACATGAGAATGAATTTTAGTAGATGGGACAAGGGACTCTAGCTCTTTAGAGCAGTGCCCATTATAGTATTTGTAGAAAAGAGAAAGAGAAGCAACATCACGACGATGTGACAAAGGTTGGAGATTGGCTGTTAGAGCAGGTCCAACTATGTTTACAATGCGTTTTTGCACCTTGTCTAAAAGAGAAAGAGCATCATTAGAAGATCCGCCCCAGATGTGGCAACATTATTCCATACAGGGACGGATTTGAGATTTATAGAGATAGAGAATAGAATCTGGAGTAAGAAAGTGTTGAGCTCGATAAAGAGATGCAACCTTAGCAGATGCTAATTTTGCAATGGATTTGATATACGGTTTAAAAGAAAGATCAGAAGTAAGAGTTAATCCTAGAAGATGAATGGTAGATGACTCATCTAGTACATTACCATTCATAAATATAGGAAGATCTAAATTATTACGATAACGATTGTCCGAATAAAATTGAGTTTTATCTGAATTAAAGTTCACCAGCCACTGTGAGCCCCATGCTGCAGCAGAAGTGAGATCCTTTTCAAGCTCAGATACCCCCTCCAGGCAATCAGAGAGTGTAGGCTTCTTATCATGACAAGAGTAAATGGTAGTGTCGTCAGCGAATAATGCTACCTTAGATGTGAAAATATCTGGAAGATCGTTAATGTAAATTAAAAAGAGTTTAGGGCCAAGGATTGAACCTTGAGGAACCCCTGAAGTTACAGGATGTGATAAAGAGTGTTGTCCATCGAGGACAACTTTTATACTACGATTGGAAAGAAAGGACTCAATAATCTTAAAGATGTTACCAGATACACCATAAGAAGAAAGCTTATGGAGAAGACCAGCATGCCAAACTTTATCAAAAGCTTTAGAAATGTCAAGTGCGATAGCCTTAACCTCTCCACCTCTATCTAATGCACGGTAAAACCTATCAGTTATTACTGTTAGCAAATCAGCTGTAGAACGAGAAGATCAAAATCCATATTGATGATCAGAAAGTAAGTTATTTGATTCAAGATGAGAGATTAAGTGTTTGTTGATTAAAGATTCAAAAACCTTGCTTATGACAGGAAGAAGACTAATGGGACGGTAGTTAGATGAATCAGATCGCTCTCCGGAATTTTTAAAAATAGGGATAACAGATGCTGCTTTCCAGCATAATGGAAAACAAGACTCTGTGTATGTGGTACGATGATAGGGGGATTCTGATGAAGTAGAAGAATTTGATAATAGTTTTAGAGAGATCAAACCGTGATCAGAAGCACCTAAGGGTGAATGTGAAGAAATTGAGAACTTACTAGGATCCAAAACAAGAAATAAGTCAAGTAGAGAAGGTAAATGATTAGGGTTGTCTGGAAAACGAGTTGGAAAGTTGACTATTTGAGTTAGAGATTGAGAAAGGCAAAAGTTGAGGGCCTTAACGCCAGCAGAGTCACTGACACTAGAGCCAAGCCAATCAGTGTGATGGGCATTAAAGTCACCAACAACAACAATATTGGCCGATGGATAAAGAGAGAGGGCTTGGTCAATTTGATCAGAAATAGCATCGAGAATAGTGCAATCTTGGGATGAAGGAGAGCGATATAGAACAAAGAGAAAGGCAATAGAGTGAAGTGGTGCTAAACGAAAGCACATAAAAGAACAGCCTGTAGATTCAAACCTAGTTTCACGACAAATGGGTGAGTTCTTACGAATGTAGATGCCCAGGCCAAGCATGTGATTATTGGAGTCTTTACAAATTAAAGGAAGATAACCATCAACACTAAGATCACAAGATGGGACAGCCGAACTCAAATTAGTCTCACAAAGAGCAAGTAGGTCTGGTGAACTTTGCAAGAGATAAGACTCAACAGAAGAAAAGTTACTATGAAGACCACGAATATTAGTAAATGATGAACTTGGTGATGACGATGGTTTTTTGTGTTTTTTAGTTTTAGGTACTTTAGTCATTTTAAATTTATAAAGAACTTGACTCAAGTATAGATAGTACTCAGTACACTATCTAACAACTAAGCAATAGCCTCATTACTATTAATAAACCCTAAGCCGTAACAAAGGGCTCCAAATGTGGCCTCTACAATGCACACCAAAAGTACGAACAGGGACACCATCCATGCACAACATGGCACTGTTAGTACCCTGATATTTTTCGACTGTTGATGGAATCAGCCTCTCTGAGAGCTACCACAGAGTTCGGGAAACCTGACTACCAGCCGGCCTCAGAACCATAAAACTGAGTTTTAGAGCTGTACCCTCATTAGGAGATAATAGAATGAGTTGCCCAGTCATAAAAATAGAGACACAAGCAATACCCACGCATTGAGTCAAGAAGATCCAGCGTTCAACATCCTAAACTGGAAACAATGTATTAAAAATACATCTGCGCCAGCCTAATAGATGAAGCCTAATAGATTATTTAGGAGAAAATCAAACGCAAAAAGACATTATAAAGCTTTATTAGATCTTGAAAACTCAATGCTGTAAGCTTGTAAGAGTTAATTTTTAAAGAGTTAAAGTCTCTTAAATGAAAATACAGTTCTTTTGAGACCATGGTTAAAATACTTTTGAATAATTTTTTTTTGACAATAATAGGGATTTTACATGAAATACTAAAGATTTAAACCCAAATAATTTAACAACTTGATGTGATGGTAAAAAAATGAATTGCATAAATTATTTTTGTTGACCTGTGTTATTAGAATAATAATATTATTAGATTCCATAGAAGACCTCATTACCTCAACCTTAATCAAATAAAGAAATGGTAATGAATCTGAAGATAGTAGTAAATAAAGAAATGGTAATTAATCTGAAGCTGAATAAAAGAGAAGCTAAAAGCTGTATAATAAGTAGTTAATAATAATTATTAGAATAATAAACAATAAAAGCTGAATAATAGAGTAGCTAAAGGAATGATAGTAGCAAAATATTAGAGTAGCTAAATGGAAGATAGTGACATTAAAGGTTTTAAAGCTTATTCACTAAATAGTGATTTTTTATTTAGATATTTAAAAGAAATGCTGACAAGATACAGGATAATACCATATACCAGAAAACCCAGAAATTATTTTGAGATAATGGAGATGATGTTTGAGAGAATATCTTCAGCTGTAGAAAACAGATTTTCAACATCTGTGAATGTCGGAGGTTGTGTGAGGCACTTTTTTTGCCACCTTAGTCAATGTTAACTTGATTTTAGAATTTGCAATTTTTTCTTAGTTTTTCGAAAACTCATGGCATTGAGAAGCCATAGGACAATCCAAATAACCATTCAATGCTTTTATTATCACTTTGGAAGAAAAACATGCATTTGGTTCAATTTGAGTTTAAGATTGTGCAATAATTTTCAACATGTGAAAAAAAGATGTATGATTCGGTAAACTTCTGTAGTATTTTTTGCTAGCAATTTTGTAACTTGAAGCAACAAAAGAGCACAGTGCCTCAAAAACCCAGCATCATTAATAATAGACCATAGATGCAGGTCAAGAATAATCATTTCAAAGATTGACTAGTAAAATTTTTGACCTTTTTCAGAAATAGAGTCAATGGCTTGAGCCCAGTTTAGAATTGTAGATTTAAAAAAATAATTTTTTTGTTTTTTTGATTGTTTATTGAAGATTGGAACTTCTTTCTTATGCTCAAATTCAATTCAGCTTTTTTGACCGAAATTCCGACTGGAACCAAAATCTTAAATATAACTGGAACTGGAACAAAAACCAAAAAAACTGGTCAGATTATGGATGGAACTGGAACCAATTAGAAATTTGGTCATTATTTGTAAGTAATATAAACTTTTAACTTATTTTTATTAATAATTTGATAACTTTAATTTGATTTTCACTTAATTTTTCGTATAAAACTTCTAACATAAATATTAGGAGTTAATAAATTTATAAATATAAAATTTGATAAAGAAAATATTTTTGAAACTTTCAAAAATTTTTACAATTATTAAAAAGATTTTAAAAGCAAAAAATTTAAGCAGTAGAAAATCCAAAAAAATTTAAACTTTATATTATATTTATTTATTAAAACTTATTTTATTATAAAATTAATTTTTTTTTGAAAAACTAACATACCCCAAGCAAATGCAAATGCTTTTAACATAAATACATTCAAGCTAGCAGAATTATGAAAAACTTTGACAAACATTCTATAAAGATTAAATCCTTCAACAACCATCCAACAGAATGTTGACAATAGAAAAAACTGAATAAGTGATGCAACCACTTGGCACAAAATTCGAGGTTTGGTTCTTTCAACCAAAGCCAAAAAGATTATAAGTGTAATCATCAGATTGCTAGATAAAGCAATTAAAATTCTTGGAGCAAGTTGGGTTTGATATTTTCTAAAATAAAAAGTAATAATACTAACCAAATTTATTAAAACCAATGGCACACACATACACATTCACATACATACATTTAAATATTACATGTTATTATCGAAATAAATTTTTAAGTATATTTTTTACATATATTTTCAATATATATTTTTGTGTGTATTTTTTAATTTATTGTTATACATTATATTTTATACTTTTATTCATTTATTTGGAATTACAAAAATTTAGAGTAATATAACAATATCTAAATAAAAATATAAGCATAACCTTCAAACTGCCCCAACCTAATCCTTAGTCAGTGTAGCAGCACTCTCTTGTATGTTCTGTCTATTTGTCACTCACCTTCTTTTCTTTTATCTTAAGAGTTGCTTATATTACTATTTTTTTTTCAAATTAAAAAAACAAATACTTACATAGACAAAAAATTAGAGAAACACAAATTATATATTTTTTTTGGGAGGTATTTTGTGCAAATTCTCAAATATTTTGTGAAAGTTCTCAAAAATAACTGTGTTTCTCTAATATATATATATATATATATATATATATATATATATATATATATATATATATATATATATATATATATATATATATATATATATATATATATATATATATATATGTATGTATGTATATATGTAAACATAAAACACAAGAACATTTTGTACATTTTGTAACTTTATTAGTTACTGAATCTTTCTTAAGTATAATCAAACCTAGGGGTGTTCAAATAATTGTGAAAAAACTACTTAAGTAATTTGTGATGTGTCAATTATTTTATCAGTCGATGATGTTTTTAACTTAGTAATAAAAGTCCAGCAGCACTAAACCATCTTTTTGCTTCAAGTGATGATGGTGGCAAAGCCTTTTTTTTTAGACAACCATCTGATCCTTCAAATATAGCCGGTTCTATTTTGATACAGTCCAAAACCTTAGAGGTAGCCTTGATCATCATTATACTTGAATTTTAGGCTAAGTAATAATGAAGCACTTCAGCCTTACACTTTTTTTTATCAACATTGGAGGCTTCGCATTCAACTGATGTTTTGGATCTTTATGGTCATAAAAAAGACAATAATGCATATCTCTTTCTATAATTGCAAGCTTTTTTTTAAGATATTCGAAAATTTAATATTTTTTAGCTTGATCATAATGATTTGATGCCTCTATCATTCAAATTAAACAATATAATAAAAATCCTGCAATTCTAATATTGCTTTTTTTGAAAATTCTTGTAATTGTAAAGACAAAAAAAAAAGATATTGTTACATCTTGGTCTCTTAATTATTTTGAAATATATTCACACCTTTTTCAGCCCCAAAAAGAGTAATATTTTTTTTTCAAAAAATGTCAGTTCAATAATTTCTAAACAATCTTTTAAATATCTAACCATTTTAATCTCATTATCAATTGCTAGCATTTCCATAATGTTTTGTATCAAAAACTAAAGCTAACTCATTCTGAAACTCATTAAGACAACAGTGTTGAAGATCGTTATTTCTTAGAGTTGACCTTTTAAAAAACTTTACAATTATTTTTATTTGTAACCACTGATCATCAAAATATGTTGAGTTCATTATTCAATTTACTTAAACTTGTTCTAGTCTGAAGAAAACAAAAACAACTGACTAATAACATCAAATAGTTAGCTACTAGTTAGTACAATTTAGTTAGTTACTAAAAGCTAGTTTTTAATCAAACTCAAAAAAAATAACTGCTTTTCCTAGAGTTAAACTGAGTGTTAAAAAAAAAAGATTCATAATTACAGAGCATCTAAAATAAAGTAAATAATAAAAACTTTGATTTTTTTAAAATTTAACCTAATTTACCTGAATTTTACCTGATTTATTTTGAGACATCTAAATTCCCTGACTTTTCCCTGATTCTCCTGATCTGGCAGACACCCTGTATACTTTACTTAAACAATGCAGTTTAACTAAGCATCTTTATTTAAAATCTTCAATGTTAAAATATGTTTGAACATATGTTAATGAAACAATTTCATGATAATATTTTTTCAAAAACTTATTAAAAAAAAAAATTTTATATCTTGTTTAGCTTACATTATATGCTGTAACTTTTATGCACATTAATATAAATTAAATAAAGTAAATTTAATATTATAAAGAATTTATTTTTAATAATCTATTAGGTATTTATTTCAATTCTTTTTTTATTATAGGCAAATAGAAAAAAAGTCAAAACTGAGAACATTTTTGGTGTAGAACATGCCATATATAGGCGCACATATATATTCACATATATGTATAATTTATTATTATTCTGTTTTTTTAAGAATATTGAGCACTCTATTTTGTAGGATACATATATATAAGTATATATATACATATATATGTATATATATATATATATATATGTGTGTGTGTGTGTGTGTGTGTGTGTGTGTGTGTATGTGTGTGTGTGTAATTTATTATTGCTCTGTTCCTTTAAGGACATTGAGCACTTTATTTTATTGAATACATTTTAAAATTGTTTATATATATATATGTGTGTGTATATATGTATGTATATATATATATATATATATATATATATATATATATATATATATATATATATATATATATATATATATATATATATATACATATATATATATATATATATATATATATACATATATATATATATATATACATATATATATATATATATGTGTGTGTGTATATATATATATATATATATATATATATATATATATAAATATATGCATAAAAACACATTTAGACAGTCTGTCATCATACTGATTTAAGGAGTGAGGCTTTTATACATACCTTGACTTCTGTAGGAAGAACAACCAATGGAATTGCTGTTAAATTTACTGAGTGTTTAAGATCAATAAGTTTTTTTAATTATACTTTGCTTTTTTTTTTTTTTTTTTTTGCGGAAAAAAACATTTAAATTTAAGCTGGCAAAAAAAGTTGATAAATGTATATTTACAAGCGCTATACTACAAATATATATAGGGTAGATTCAGATAATATGAGCACCAAAGTAACATGAGCATACTAAAAGATTTCTGAAATGCGAGCAGTAAAATTCAGTTTCTTTTTACTTTTTGAATTGACTTTATGAGATGAGGCATAATTAGCATAAATTTATATGTAAATTTATTGCGTGAATATATGCGCAGTAATTAGTGGCTCTCAGCTAAATAAAATAATATTTAATTTTTTGTGTTGTTGAAATATTATCATTTAACATGAAAGAATCTATGGTGCAAAATTTTGATGTTGAAATATAATTATTTTTTCATAAAGAAAAAAATATCAGCTAAAAAAACAGATAGTGTTTATTGGCACAGCCGCCGTGAACAACTTCTAAAAAAGACTATTGGCACGGTTGCCATTTAAACAGTTAAGAAAAGGTGTTTGCACGGTCAAATTGGCAGATTTTAAAATAGGACTGCATTGTAACTTTTTAATTAATAATTAAAAAGTTACGATGTAATTAATAGGTACAACAAAACAAATTAAAAGCTGAAAAGGAAGATCTGAAAGAAAATGACAGCTTTGGTAGTTACAAAGAATTCTAAAAAAATTGTGAAAAAAACGCGAAAAGAACAAGTAAAATTAAAAACTTATTATTAAAACCCACTGCTTTTATATGTTTTAAAAGCACAAATTTTGCAATAAGTTTTTTCTGAAAATACTGTTTTATTTTATTAACATTCGGCTGTATGTGTGTGTAAAATAACAAAAAATATCCAGGAAGAGGCAAGACTCCGACCTTCAGTTTACAAAGTTGACAACTTCACCAAATAAGCTAAATGTGCGTTTAAGTGTTTAAACAATTAGTATACTTATTTATAAATTCTTCTTTCCATATGAAAAATAAATTTAATTAAAATTAACTAAATTAGTTAACTTATTGCATAACTAATTATTGAATATTGTATTGTCATTAAGCAAGAGTATGTATGCAAAATTTGAAGAAAATCTATCATCAGGAAGTGACTCAAAAATTGATTGCAAGATTTGGTTTTGCGGCCGTGCGAATAGCCTTTTTAGAATGGTAATACGGCAGCCGTGCGAATAGCCTTTTTAAAATCGGAACATGGCGGGCGTGCAAATAGCCTTTTTAGAATTGGAACACGGCGGCCGTGCAAATAGTATCGGCCAAAACAACATTCTATTTAAGTTTGGAAAAAAAGCATAAAAACTTATAGACTTCATTTAAAAAAAATCATTTTTGCGTAATATGAGCATGCTTAAACTACCCAGTGTTTTTAATTGAAATTACCTATTTAAAGTCCTAAAATTGTGGTAATTATAATTGCTTTTTGAATAAAAGATAAAGATACTAAAATTTTTAAATATTTTAAGTATCTTTACGTAAATTAAATTCAAAAAATTTGTAATGTTATTGTTTAAAAGTTTGAGTTGATAATATATATATATATATATATATATATATATATATATATATATATATATATATATATATATATATATATATATAATATATATATATATATATATATAATATATATATATATATAATATATATATATAATATATATATATATATATATATATATATATATATATATATATATATATATATATATAAGAGAGAGAGAGAGAGAGAGAGAGAGAGAGAGACTCATACCGAAAAAATAGATGGCAAATGATTGTTATAAATAAGCCAGCTATAGAAATACTACAGCCAATCCAAGTAACAATTTGAAGTGCCAACGGATTATTCCCAGATTGATCAGTATCTAATATCAATGCAAAGTTTGTAAGATGATTACATTCACATTGTACATATGACGTTTGATTACTGTTAACATTGTGACAACCATCGGATGACCATATGCTACCTAACAAAAAATCATGATTGCATTTACATACATGTACATTAGGGGGGTTACAACAAAAAAATAATTTTTTGGCCTGTAGTAGGAACCAATGAACATTCTTATATTAATTAAGAAAATCATACTTATTTCCTTAATTAAAAAAAAAATACCAAAACACCTGACAACATTGTGGCTATCATTTATTACCAAAAATATCTCTCTCTCAAAGTATATCATGTTAGTTCTCAAAGAAGCTTCTTTGAGAACTAACTTGATATACTTTTAGAATATTTTATAGATTTTACTTTGAAAATATTTTATAGAATTCTAATAATTTGCCGACCTCAATCCTTTTGATCTCCAATTTGCTCTGATTTAATTCTAACCTATATAAATATTTTTTAAACAAAGAATGGTATACATTAGTAATGTTATCATAGAATAAATTAAGTTTAAAGTAAACATTTTAAAATAAAAATTGATAAAAAAGCATTTTTTAGGACATTTTTTTTTTACCTAACAAATATTTAAAAAAAAAACCTGTAAAAAAGATCATTATTTATGAAATCTCTATAAAATTTTACTTCATTTGAGGTCCAACATAATATACTATAGTAAAAAAATATTTTTTGTAAAATAAGACACAATTATTTGAAATTTACTTCTAAAAAATTGTCTTTAATACAATAACTATAGAAAAAGAAACTAAACAACAATTGATTAATTTCTTCTTTTATTTTTTTAAAAGAAAACTGGTTCTAAAAATTATTCTATACTGAAAAAGAATTTTTTTAATACAAAATAATTAATACATTAATAAATAATTTATAATATTTAAACAAGATTTAAAATTTAAAATCAAATAATTCATCTTTAATAAATTCTTTTTTCATTTATAAAAAAGTAACTCACTTTCTGATCTCCAAAAACTACACTCCTTTAGGCCACTAGAATTACTAGGAAAGCTCATTTCAACAGGGACAGTAGAGTTCTCTATTTTCAATCCATTAACTGTAGCTGACAGAATCCAACTAATTACAGAGCGATTAGTAGATACTTGTTCTTTAAAAAATAAACCTTGTTTGAAAACATACGAATAAACATTTCCAGTGTTACCTTTAAATACTTGAACAGGTAAAAATATGTGGGCTTGAAGGTTTTCTAAAGATAACCTCAGATCTTTATCTGTTATAGATAAATTTATGTTATTCACAGCAGGATTAGCATAAATATACAATGAACTAAGAGTTAAAGGAAAGTAAGTTAAAAACGCCAGGTTAGTCTTTGAAATTGTAATGTTTTTTGTTTGTTGCATAGCAAGCATATCTAATGAAGATAAATACTGTGATGATGAATTAAACACTTTATTAGCAACATCTATAATGTGTGGACTTACTCCTAATATTATATCAACTGAAGATAAAACATCATTGGTGACCTGAAAAATAAAATATTAAGGGTATAAAATAAACTTTATTAATTTTATGCTGTTAATAATAAAAACACTTATTATGATATTTAAATAAGTTTTTTAATATTACAATAAGATTGTGTAGCATGTAGCGATTTTGCTTGTGAATTATCAAGACAAAAAAAAAAGAAAATTCTCAATACCATCTTATAAGATTAGTCACTATACAATTTTTAATCAACACATTGCCATATTACACATTTAACATCACAAATTTAATATCAAACACATCACAACAAAATATTTCAATAAAAACTTAACATAAAAAAATCATGAAATCTAGTTTTCTGATGTTTTTTTAAAATAAAATTATGAACTAAAATTGTTTAATTCAATTTTTAAAAAAGTTTTTTTTTTAATTAACAAAAAAAAGCCAAAAATTAAAAATTATTTTTAGCAAACAATTTAATTAATAGACTCTTAAACATACTAATGTTAAATTTTATCATTACTTTCAGTTCAATTAATTAAAGTTTTCACACCCAGGATTTTGAAATTTTTAATTGCAAACTAATTATTTCAATTGCAACTTAATATATATTTTTTTGTAATTAGTTCGCTTGCAAAATCGGGGTTTCGCAACATTTTTGATAGCTGTTGTTTTTATTGTTTAGTGATGCTTTGAAAAAGAAAAAGAGTACTTAATATTCAATTAAAAATACTTAAATTGAATAAAGTATTTTATGGTAAAACCTTTGTATTCATTTTTTTTATGCTAATCTCTAAGATTATGGTCAGCAAAATATTGCCGATTTCATTTTTCCTAATAGCAAGGTCTGTATGTATATATGTATGTATGTATGTATGTATGTATGTATGTATGTATGTATGTATGTATGTATGTATGTATGTATGTATGTAGGTATGTATATATATATATATATATATATATATATATACACAACCTTTAAAATTAGGGTTGGCATTCTGCCTAGCTGCCAACCTGGAAGGTTGAGGTATTTGAGTTTAGCAATATATATATATATATATATATATATATATATATATATATATATATATATATATATATATATATATATATATATATATATATATATATATATATATATATATATATATATATATATTCTGATGACATTTCTGATGAGTCTTTATTGTTGAAACACAGTGTAAAATGAAAAATATTTGTTAAATATTTTTCAACTACTTTTTTGTTAATACCTATTTTTTGTATAGCATGATTTGTTAAAACTTGTAAAAGCAAATAAAGGGCTCAAATTCCTAAAAATTCAAAAAGTTTCAGAAGTAGAACGAGTAGAACAATTTCTCAGATTTTGAGAATGTGAAAAAAAATAGTTTATCATTTAGTGTCATCTTTTTGCTTGATAGAAAAAAAAACTCTGCATCAAAAAATTTAAATTCCACCAAGCTAAATATTTTTGATCTTCTTTGCGTTGTACATTTACTGCCTCCAGGCCCAGAGCGGAAGGGAAGTTATTGTTTTCAAGGAAGCTAATAAAAAAAATTTTTTTCATCCTATTTCACATAATGTTGCTTTGAGGCAACATATCAAGCAAAGAACTCTTTTAATGTATCTAAAATTAATGTCATTGAAAAATAGATTTTTCCAGCAGAGGCATAGCAAATATTTGACCTAAGATGAATATTTTACCATAAGTAATTTAATGTTACCCATTAACAGTTTTATAAAGCACAAGATTTTTTTTTTATCTTAGGTAATAGATTTAAACTCTATCAATTGTTGTTTAACCTCTCTCTCAAAAGTTTTACCTCTCTCTCAACCTTTGAACTCCAAAAGACAAACAAGGATGCTGAGAAATAAGTTCTGTTGTACTTCTGCAGTGCTTTCTAAGTCAAGATGGGTTTGAACTTTGTACTTTTTGCTTACAAAGTTAATATGCTACCACTACTATTAATATATACTTTAATCTAAACATTTTTAAATTAAATGTCACAAATACTCTGAAACTCAAATAAAGCAGGAACTGAGTAAAGTAATCATATTTGAGTATTATAATTAATAGTTTCAAAAATGTATAATCAATAAACTTAACTTAACTTTTATGTAAAATGTCACATTATCAACGTGACATTTTTTACCAATAAATTTTATTGGTTAAATAATTTGCACAACTTCCAATTAATATTATTGAAGTTGAGTAAAGTAAAAAATTTTTTACGAAATATTTTATCAAAATAAACTATTATAAAGAATTAGTAAATATTAATCTAATAAAGTTAAATTTTATTACTTTTTTATTTCTGTTAGATTTTACATGAGAAATAAACACATTGTTATGAAAAACAATTAACACATTATTATCAAATATAACCAACACTTTCTTATGAAATATAATAGAGGCATAGATATGAAATATAAAAATCACTCTGTTACGAAATATAATAAACATATTGTTATAAAATAAAATTAAGACATTAATATAAAATACAATAATTACTTTGTTATGAAATGCAATAAATACTTTGTTATGAAAATATATTTTTATAAAATATAGCATACATTTTGTTACAAAAAACATCACACATTTTTTTTTATGAAATATAAGAAATGCATTGTTATGAAATGCAGTTTTATATATGTTTAATATATAAAAAAAAAAAATACAAACCATTTCTGATAGCAATGAGCTTGGTTTAATAATATTTTTAATGATATTGGATACAATATATACATCATATTCATTTGTGACAATACCATTTTCTAAGACATTTTTTAAGTTGCTAGCAATCGGCTGAGCATTCGAACTTGTAATATTTGTCTGTATAAAAATAAAAAAAAAATAAAAATCAGAAACAAATCCTTTTTAGAATTACTAAAGTTTTTGAATTGAAAAATTAAATTAAATTAAATCAAAAGTAAATTAATTATCCTATTAACAAACTTATACAAATTGATAAACTAATGTTGAAGTAATGATGCCAATCATGATTGCAATCATGATGGTATTTTTAATGGTAAACAGGAGAGACAATACTATTTAAAAGAGAAATATATGTTGAAAATAATGTGCAAATTTAATTTATGCATTGATGTGCATAATTTAAATTTATTCTAGCTGCAAGATATTGCTCATAAACCAATCAGGGTTTGTGCATTAGATTCCTTTAGTCTAGATTTGTAACTACGACAAGAAACTATCACTATTCAGAGCCACCACGGTTTTTAGTGAATAAAACTTTTATTTATATAAAAAAAAACTTATACTTTGTCAGAGGTAAACAAAAAATTAAGTAAATATAAACTTACTTTACATATTTAAACTTACTTAAATATAATATCAATTTATTAGAAAGCAATTAAGGCAGAAAACTGATAACAAATTATTCTAACCTTAATGCTAATATACCTTTTCTAAATGTTTGTATGCCAACTAATAACAAGTGAGTTTACCTCAACAAATAACAAATAACTTATACTTTGCTATTAACTAATAAGAATTCCTTGATCATTAATGAAAAAGGTTTCTTTATATTATCTATCTTTATAATACACTAAAAAATTAGTTTATAAAATAGTTTTAAAAGAATATCTTACAAATAAAATATTGACATTTTATACCAATTGTAGTTTGATAAGTAATTGAGAAGTTTCTGTCTTTGAAGGACATGTGTAAAGATTTACTGTGCTCCAATATGGACTACTAGCTGGATCACTTTGAATGCATTGACGATTTAACATTATACTTGTATTGTAGACACAAGGAATTGATACCGTTTGAGTGGAATAAATATTCACATGTGTAACAGGAAACGTGTATAAACCTGTAAAATTTACTGAACCAATTGTTTCTTCCTTGCAATAACCTAATGATAAATCAATAAAAAAAAATCACAAAAAACACTTCAAATTACACTGAATTTTAACAAAGTTGCAAGTAGCCACTATTGTAAATTAAAATATAGAATTCATAATGGAAAAACTAGCTAAATAAATAAAGATTTGAAAACTGAATAGAACATAACACAACAAAACGAAAGAAGTAAATTTAATAGCTCATAAGTTCGCTAAAAAAAACTAGACTGTTTATTTTGAGCAAGTTGGCCAGTTAGAGAGAATTGTCATGTATAAAGATAAGAACTAACTTATTGATAAAGTTACAACCTTTTTTTTTTTTTTTTTTTTTCTTATTTGCATTCACTCCCAACAAGGCTGCAAGCAACCACTATTAAGTTGGGAGTTACTAGGAAAAAAAAAGAACAGAGTTATAGAGCAAGGAAACGGTTGACAGAAGACTTGAAAAATTGAAGGTTGTATGAGTCAGGAAAACATGAAGATGGGAGAGAGTTCCAAAGGATTGAAGTGCGGGGAAAAAAACTAGATGAATAAAAGTTTTTAGAGCATGCAGGGACAGATACAGAAAACAAATGAGACTTAGCTGAATGACGAGTAAAACGAGAATGAATTTTAGTTAATGGAACTAGAGATGATAACTCCTTTGAGCAGTGACCATGATAGTATCTGTAGAAAAGAGAAAGAGATGCAACTTTACGACGATGGGAAAGAGGTTCAAGCTTAGCAGATAGTCCAGGTCCAACAACATTTACAATGCGTTTTTGGACCTTGTCAAGAAGAGAGAGTGAATCGTTAGAAGAACCAGCCCAAATATGACAACAGTATTCCATACAGGGGCGAATAAGAGATTTGTAGAGGTAGAGAATGGAATCAGAAGTAAGGAAATGGCGAGCACGATAAAGAGAAGCAACCTTAGCAGAAGCTAATTTAGCAATCGATTGTATATATGGTTTCCATGAAAGGTCAGTAGTAAGCGATAATCCAAGAAGACGTAAAGAGGACGACTCAGTAAGAGGATTGCCATTCATTAATATAGGAATGTTGACCATATTACGGTAGTTGTTTGCAGTAAGCAATTGGGTGTTTTTAGAGTTGAAATTCACAAGCCACTGTGAACCCCAATCTATTACTGAAGTGAGATCAGATTCAAGATCAGCTGCTTGTTCTAGGCGATCGAAAAGAGAAGACTTTTTGTCAAGACAGGAGTATAAAGTTGAGTCATCAGCAAAAAGAGCTACTTTAGATGAAAGGTTGTCAGGAAGATCGTTTATGTAGATAAGAAACAAAACAGGGCCCAGGATGGAACCTTGGGGAACCCCAGAAGTTACTGGAAATAAAGAAGAGTGTTGGCCTTCAAGGATGACTTTAATAAACCGGTCAGAAAGAAATGATTTGATAATCTCAAAAACTTTCCCAGAAACACCATATGAAGCAAGCTTATGGAGAAGACCAGCATGCCAAACTTTGTCGAAAGCTTTAGATATGTCGAGAGCAATAGCCCTAGCCTCACCACCTCCATCTAATGCACGATAAAATCTTTCAGTTACAGCAGTTAGCAAGTCGGCCGTAGAGCGGGAGGATCGAAAACCGTATTGATTGTCTGACAGCAGTTTATTTGACTCAAGATGAGATGTGAGGAATTTGTTGATTAAAGACTCAAAGACCTTGCTAATAACAGAAAGAAGACTGATCGGACGATAATTGGAGGGGTCAGAATTTTCTCCAGAGTTTTTGAATATTGGAACCACAGATGCCATTTTCCAACAAGCAGGAAAACAAGACTCAGTCAAACACTTGTTAAATAGTTTAGAGAGAATTGAAGATAGTTCTGGAGAACAATTCTGCAAGACTGTGACAGGAATGTTGTCTGGACCACAAGCTGTGGTCCAGACAACATTCTGAACATAAGTTAGGGTCAGAGACAAGACATAAGTCAAGGAGTGAAGGTAAATGATTAGGGTTGTCAGGAAAACGAGTCACAAAGCTATCTGAGTAAGAGATTGAGAAACGCAGAAGTTAAAGGCTTTAGTGCCAGCAGGATCAGTGGTGTTAGAGCCAAGCCATTCAGTGTGATGGGCATTAAAATCACCAACAACAACAATATTGGCAGAGGGGTAAAGAGAGAGGGCATGGTCAATTTGATCAGAGATAACATCTAAAAGAGTGCAATCATGGGAAGAAGGAGAACAATAAAGAACAAAGAGAAAGGTGATAGAGTGAAGAGGTGCTAGGCGAAAGCACATAAAAGAATGGTCAAAGGATTCGAACCTGATTTCACGACAAATAGGGGAATTAATGCGTATGTATACCCCTAAACCTAGCATGTGACTATTAGAGTCTTTACGAATCAAAGGATAGTACCCATCAACACTGACATCTGAAGAAGGAATTGCAGAACTTAAATTTGTTTCACTGAGTGCAAGCAAGTCTGGTGAATTTTGCAGGAGGTAACACTCAACTGATGGAAAGTTGCTTCGTAAACCGCGAATATTTGTAAAAAATGTATTAAATTATTTAGGTGGTGGGCATGGTTTTTTAGGTTTTAAATTTTTGGTTACTTTGGTCATGATTTGGGTTTAATGAGAACTTGACTCATTCATAGATAGAGCACAGCCTCCTAATCAATGAGCTATGCACCTTTTAACTCAATGAACCATTTAGTGAAATAAAAATAATAAAAACTGCTGTACTCACACTGTAAAGTACTTACACTGTAAAGTACTCACACTGTAATGTACTCACACTGTAAAGTACTCACTTTAGAAAGTAGTTACACTGAAAAGTACTCACACTGTAATGTACTTACATTTGAAAGTAGTTACACTGACACTGTAAAGTATTCACACTGTGAAGTACTTTCACTGTGAAGTACTTACAATGTTAAGTACTCACACTGTAAAGTACTCAAAATGTAAAGTATTCACAATGTCAATCTATAAGTTTTTGAAGGTTCTTTAAGTTAACGTTTTTCGAAAAAAATTTTAAGCTTTACCTGTTATCAATTCCTGATAAAAAAGCATAGGTTTTAGTAAGAGTAAATTAAGTCTGATTTTATCACTTAAATTAAATGTGTAGTTTTTTTAATTTCTTATTTATTGAAATAAGAAACTGATAAAATAGTTATTTATGTTCAAAATGATATTGATAAAAGTTGTGTTAATTTTGATGTTTTGAATGAATAAATTGTGACGATTGCTTAAAAAAAATTGTTTGTAAAATAAAAGATTGTAGTTCTTAATGAGCATTCAAAAAATATTTACTGTGCTTATATTCAATTAGCAAGCATAACATTTAAAAAAATTACAACAATGTTTTAAGTTTTTTTTTATTGATGAACTTGAGGTACGCAGTGATGCAAAAGGTTTGCAACAATGTATAAGTGGTCAAGAGGTAGAGTGCTTGCTTTGTAAGTAAAAAATTATGAGTTTGATTCTCACACGCCCATGTTCAACTTGTTTATCAGCACAGGAGCCTATTTTGATATGGTTCAGTTTTTGGAGTTAAAGAATAAAAAAATCCAATTAGTTCTCTTTGGAAAAAATAAAAAGTTCAACTTGAATTAGCTCTAAATAAAAAAGTTTTTTTATTTAAAACTTTTAGTGATATTATAAAACCTTCAATTTATTGCTATAAACAAATATCAATTTATTGCTATAAATAAACAAAAAAGCAATGAATAATGCATAATTACGGGGAAAAAAAATTCAAAAAATAATTTCAATCAAACAACTCTTATAAGACAACTCAAAATTTTGATACATCTTTAGAATGTCCTTTAATCCAAGGAATTTTTATCCTGCTTTATATCAGGAAAAAATTTTAAGTTCTTTGCAATTGTTTTTATTTAAGTTCTTTGCAATTGTTATGATCATTTTTCTCTTCTCTTTTTTAGTTCCATGATCAAAGTTTAGATTTATCTATAAAGTTTCTTGAGCCAGCCAAAAAGTCCTAAAAAATTTTTTTTTAATTTTTTAATTTTAAACATAAACAATGTAGTAAAGTCAAAGTAAAGTTTAAACAGACAGAACTTTGTAAATCAGAACCATTATTATATTTTACTAATTTGATAGATATGAGTAAGAACGTTGGAAGAACTGTAAAAAATGTTATGCTACAGTTGTGTATACATTTGAGCAAAAGTATAAAACAGAATATAACAATATATTATAAATACAATATATTATTGTAATACAAATATAAAAGAATATACAGAAATATAAAGAAGTTGTGATATACCCTTTATAGCATCTAATGTTAAATATCTATCAGTAATTTTGCTTTAACAAATGATTGATTGAAACTTACTTTGTTTAACAAATGATTGATTGAAACTAGAATAAATTACTGTTGAAGTTGTAATGTTTAATGCATTCAAGTGATTACTTGATACCATGTTTTTAATGCTAAAACCTGTTTGCACTAGTGAAAAACAAATAAAATAAAAATAATTAGATAAATAACAAACATGAAACTTTTAATTAAATGAAAATTAACAATAAATATACTTTTATCAACATGAACTGTACTTGAAAATAACTGAATTACAGGAGCTGAAGCTGAGAAATATAAATTAAAAAAAAAATTAATGATCAAATAGTTTTGTATAAAACAAAATAAGTAGAAGTATATTGTTTATTGAAATTTAAACAGGTAAAACTATTAACTGTAATTTTGCTTAACTCATATCTAACAAAGTATAATCTACTTAATAAATTAAATGTATTAAGTATATATATAGCATGATATCTTTAAGATTTCACTTTATATTATTATTGTTAATTATTATAAATATTTTATGTTACTTATAATAACTTAAAACTTTTAATATTTAAATATAGATAATTTTTGTGATTGTAACTTATATATTGTGATATACTTTTCATTACTTATGTTGTCACTAATATTGCTGTTATTGTTGTTATTATGTTTTTAGTTAAATTATACTTGAAATGACCATTCATCTTTTCCAACAATCATAAAATTTAATTCTTATCATAAACTCAACAACATCATTTCCTACCAGTTATTTTTTATTTTTTCAACATCTTTGCTTCCAACAAGACTGCAAGCAACCACTATTAGAGTTGAAAGTTATTGGAGGAGAAAAGATAAAGTTTAAAGAGCAAAATAACTATTGACAAGACGACTTAAAAGTTGTCTTGTCAATAGCTAATTGTTTAACAGACAACTTAAAAAATTGCAAATTATACAAATCAAATTCCAAAGAAATGATGTTAGAGGAAAAAAACTAGACTAGGAGTTTTTAAAGCACTTAGGAATAGTCACAGAAAAAGGATGAGACTTAATTAAATGATGAATAACATGAGAATAAATTTTAGTATATGGTACAAAAGACGCTAACTCTTTAGAGCAGTGCTCATAGTATTTGTGAAATAGAGAATGATAAAGCGATGCAACCTTAGCAGATGCTAATTTTGCAATTGATATGATATTTGGTTTCTAAGAAAGATTGGAAGCAAGAGTTAATCCTAGAAGCTGAAGGGTAGATGATTCATTAAGTACATAAATATAGGAAGATCTAAATTATTGCCATAACAAGTGGTTGAAAAAATTAGGTCTTTTCTGTATTAAAGTTCACCACTATGAGCCACTATGAGCCCCACACTGTAGCACAAGTGAGATTCTTTTTAAGCTCAAATGCCACATCCAAGCAATCAGAGAGTGTTGGCTTTTGATTAAGACAAGAATAAATTGTAGTATCATCAGCGAATGGTAATATTATCATATAGTAGTATCATCAGCAAAAATGGTAGTGTCATCAGCAAAGAAAAAAGCCCACCTTAGATGTGAGAATATCTGGAAGATCATTAATGTAAATTATA